TTATAACAATTTGTCAACCATACTGCCAGGTCTAGCGCTAATCTCATTCTCTATAGATCTACTGTCAGGTCAAGCGAAGATGTAAATATGTTTGAATTGGACCGTGGGTGTGAGGAGCGGAGGTGGCAATTCAAAAAGTACCAACATTCTAATGGTTGATGGTACTATATGTTCTATAGGCCGAGTGATGGGTTTGTAGGCCAAGTGCGTGGTACTATATGTTCTATAGTCCAAGTGGGTGAGTCTGTAGGTTGATGGTACTATATGTTCTATAGTCCAAGTGGGTGGGTCTGTAGGTTGATGGTACTATATGTCCTATAGACCAAGTGGGTGGGTCTGTAGGCCGATCGTCGACCAATAATGAAAATTCCAATACAATAGTTTCATTGCACTTAACCTAGTAAAACCAGTAGAAGGGGAAATTCCCCCCTTCCCCCCTCTCTCCCCCTCTCTCTTTCTCTCTCTCTCATACCTTGATCATAGTACATGTATATAACACTTGAAGTGGAAAAGTGCCTTTATCATAGAATGTGCCACTTATTATGCTAGTAAACTCCACATCATATGTGATAAACAATTATGATGTGTGAGAATCGACAAAATGTGTGAGAGTGCCTTTACCCGTCATTCTAGCAAACACCCTTGTTGTGTGAGAAGTAATTAAAATGTGTGGGAGTGCCATTACCCATTATGCTAGTAATCACCCTTGTTGTGTAAGAATCAATAAAAATGTGTGAGAGTGCTTTTACCCATTATGCTAGTTAACATCTTTGTTGAATGAGAAATGCGTGAGAGTGCCTTTATCCTAGTAAATTCATTAAAAAAACATCCCTTGAATATTCTTTAAAAATAAAGACGATGCCAAAAAACCCGTTATTTTAAACGTGGGATAAGGAAATTGTGTGTTTTATAGAAAATATATCATATTAACTCAAATATCCCCCTCATTTCAACATATAAATGGCTGACGGCGATATCCGAGAGGAACAAAAGAATGATAGTTTCCACATGCTGCCATTACTTGAATCGTGTTTTACACACCACGTGTAGATAATACAGATTATATAACACACCACGTGTTAATTTGAATTGTTTTAAAGTCGACATTTGTAAAATTTAAATTATAAAAACTTCCCTTCCCGTCTATTAAAACTTGTCGTCAGTTGAATATAAAGTTTAATAGACCACCGACGTGAAAACAATTATGGTGGATGAAAAATGAAATGAAATAAAATTTGGTTTAACGTCCTACTGTTCTACTCCTATACTGGGCTAATGAAGACGGGCATACGCCATACAGTGTGCTATGAGGGAAATTTTGCCTGGGCAGCGGCACTATCGCCTACTCTTATATCGAATTCCAACTGCCAAGAGATGTTTTACGTGCATTCCAATGTATACACGGGACCTCGGTTTTTCATCTCATCCGACGGACAAAATGGCATTCTCAATATGACAGAAGATTTGTTTTAGTTGGACATTGAACTCAATTCCTTCGTTTTATAAACACAGCGGTGACGAAATGTGGCTTGAAGACATCCGGACAGCAGTGAAATGTCTGTTAGGAATACAAAACACAAAGACGAGAACTGTTTGTATTAGCGACATATAATTGATAACATTATTTCACTATGAATACAAGAAAAGGTATGTTTATATTTTACATGCTACAAGCCCGAATCATTCGGTACACTATTTGTTTTCATACCATTTATAACGTGCACTACGTCATATTGATGACATTTAAAGTAGCAGGGGATGAAGTGTTTCATAGCTCGGATAATTGAAATCAAATAAAGTCGGGTCTAACGGCTCTACACCGACTACGCTATCGAAGACCGGCGTACGTTATACAGGGTACAATGAGGGAAATGTTTCCCGATCAGCAGCACTACTGCCTACTCGTATTTTGAATTCCAACTGTCAAGGATTCTTTTAGGTGCACACTAACGTGAACACGAGGCCTCGTTTTTTTTATCCCATCCGTAGGACTTGACGGTTCTTGCCTGCTAAAGAGAGGGAGGGAGAGAGATAGAGGGGGAGCGATAGAGAGAGTTTATTTGTTTTGTAGCTCACGAGAAGTGTCTAAAGCTGTGAGGGAAACTAGGCGACCCGGAGGAAACCCACGCGGTTAGCTCACAAGTAAATGTCTTAAGATGTGAGAGAAAATATGGTGACCCGGGGGAAACCCACGAGATTAGAATAGCAAACCTACTCCTTGTCACTCAAGTTAATGACAGACATAATATTAAAAGTTCTAAGATGTACCGGGTTTGATACCGATGTTAGTTCCTAGGAATATTCATGTCGGATTTCCCCGTCTTAAAAGAGAAAAGTTCCTACTGGGCTAATTGACACAGGCATACACCATGCAGTGTCTACTCCTATATGACTTTCAACTGCCAAGGGATCTTTTACGTGCACGACCATGTATACAAGGGACCTCTTTTTGCGTCCTATCCGAATGACTACGGTGTCCATCTGTCTAGATACAATAGATTAAACAACATTTGGTTTTAGTAACAAAAGTACACCGAAAATAAATCTCATGTATTGTTGTAAAATATCCGCCAAACCGTAGCTTTAAATGGGAAACCCGATGTCCCACATGTGACAAGTGACAAGAAGAAATGTAATATATATTCCATCCTCGATACGGAACTAGGTTCAAGTCGTGACACACAATGTGTTCAGTTCCCCGGTTCCACTGTTACAGAGAAAAGTTCACGAACTGGAGAGGTCAACTTGACGGAAGTTAACAGCGGAAAAACACAGGACATGTGGAAACGATCGTATTATAGAATTTATTTGTGTGAACATATGTTCTGTATCTGAATCTAATTCTCTCTACAAGAACTCAAGTTGCTGTCTTTCTTTGTACAAACATCGACACCACAGACAGAGAGAGACATGTCGGATTTCTAAAGAACAAAGAAATCATTATTTTGGGATAATATTTAATTAAAAGGTAGGGATGTAGTTTTATAAGTTTGTCGCTTATTATTATTATAAAGTAAATTGTTATTAATTAAAATAACCAGTTTATTATTATTATAAAGTAAATTGTTGTTCATTAAAACAACCAGTTTATTATTAGTCTAAAGTAAATTGTTATTATATAAAACAACCAACTTATTATTATTATAAAGTAAATTGTTGTTAATTAAATCAACCAGTTTATTATTAGTATAAAGTAAATTGTTATTATATAAAACAACCAGCTGGACTTCCTGTTTTAACCTGTTTTTTTATTATGACAAAGGGAGAAGATGACCCGCCCTCGCCTCTCACGACAGCGATTTTATAAGTGTGTTTTAAATTGACTTTTTGATATACAAGAACTTTTTATTTTGTGTTTTTTTTACCAATCTTAAGGTGACTTTTGATATACACGGACGTTTTTATTTTGTGTTTTACCAATTTTCAACCCATTACGTGTAAATAATTAAATTAAATCAATCTGTCCATAATATCATATTTAATGTATTGGATGTTAAATCTGTAATAAACAACAACCAACTTGTCGGATAATTACTGATATAACTGTCAGTCGCTGTGGCCCAGTTAATAAGGTGTGTTCACTATCCATAGTAAGGTGAAGGTTTACTGTCCAGGCGGTCTCACGGTTCGATATCTCTATGCATCGGCGTACGGGGAAATTTTTGACTTGGGGGGGGGGGGGGGCGGTGGTGTTTGGTGCCCAAAAAATGTAGTTAGGTTCTTAGTATGTTACATAATGATAATAAATTGGACACATTCAAAAACACAATATTTTTTTATACAACTGTGTGCCCCCCCCCCCCCCCCCCAGCTCCTACGCCTATGTCTCTATGCATGTTGGTCTAGAGAGCTCTCCGTGCATTCCCTTGTCAGTGGAGCCCCGGATAGGGACAGTGTCTAGTCGTTCAGGTGGAACGAAAATCAACCAATTTGTTACACGATTTACCGTGATAGGCAAGGTTACAATATTTTAAAAGTTGAATATTCAAAAGAAGTATTATTCGTCCATATCAAATAGAATTTCCACCCAATCAAATATTTAATAAAACGGGATTCACTCCATAAAACCTGTAATTTATACAATAGTGTTCAATTTATTATTAAAATAAAATTTATTTATTTATTTATTTAGTTTTTATGTAGTCGAATATCGTCGTTACCCCTGTCCGTCGGTCAGTCGTCCATAATTACTTGTGAACGCTCTAGTAGCCATATAAAAGTAGGACTAACTTTTTCTCATAGCACAAGGGTTTCCGATAACAGGAACAACTAAAGTTATTATCTATCAGTACAAGTTTGGTGAAATGAAAATGAAATGGGGTTTAACGTCCTATCGTTCTACTCCAACCGGGATAATGAAGACGGCATACGCCATACAGTGTGCTATGAGGGAAATTTTGCCCAGACAGCAGCGCTACGCCCAACTCTTTCTCAAATTCCAACTGCCAAGGGATCTTTTACATAGTAATAATTAGCACCATGAAGAACTTGAAACCTATCAAGTTTTGATTATCTCTTGTAAATACTTAGTGACTTGTTGCCCTTGGTCAGTTTTTATCTTCTTGTAAATGCCTTTGAGGACTGGACCACATAGACGACTTTGCTACGTTGTCTGTAAACCTATTGTTTTAATTTATAAATATTATAAATAATAAGAATATGCAATTTCACATTTTGATTTGAAATTTATTAATACGTTTTGTATATTTCAGACGATGATTGGGTTGTACTCGGCCACCATATTGTTGGTGGTGACGTGTCTATATCCTAGCAACTGTCAGACACCTGACAACATCTGTCAATCATCAGCATATCGTAATCTACCAACGGGACTTCAGAATGAACATCAGTGTATGGTCCTAGAACGCTTACAACTCGACATGCAGAACGAAAAATTAACAAGAGACCGACAATTTAACAGTATTCTAACGTACGTAATTCTATTCTATTCAATAAAACGTACGTAATTCTATTCCATTCAATAAAAAGACAGGGAACAGTATTCTAACGTACGTAATTCTATTCCATTAAATAACAAGCTTGGCAAATGGGGTTAACGTCCACTCGATAAAAGAGGCAATTTTGGGACTAACACATGGTTCAATAATTCAGCAGTTGGAGGAAACCGGAGGACCCGGACAAAACCCACAAGATTGGGCACACGAGCCCAGCCCCTGTCAGTTACAAGCATGGGATCCAGGCCTCATCACGTGATTCAATGATAGACCTTATGATCTAAATGGCAATCAATAGACCACTCGACCAATCAAATCCCTGGGTTAGAATCCTAGTGTGACACTTTTAGGGCACAATCCTCCTCCCATCACGTTTTGTTTTTGTCCTATAAGAACGACTAGACCTTATTTCGTGCCATTCACCACTAACACTGGAAACCCCCGAGAAACACCAAGTTGGAACCCGAGACATCCAGCATAGTTAGTGATCCAGCACCATATTCGCCGATCCACCGTGGTCCCTCTTCTTGCTTATATACCTTATTTACACCGAGCCATTGTAGTCCCCTTTCTTTCTAATACCTTATTTACACAGAATGTTGAATTTATATAAATTATGTGTTTGAATTGTCTTGTTATTTAGGAAGTTGTCTCGACTTGATATTAAAATGCAAGCTGGATTTCATCGTGTTAAAGATATGCCGAGTGCCAACAGAGCGAGAGGATTCCCAGCTCTTAAAGATATAACAGTGGCAAGAAGTAAGTTTTACCTTTTATTAATCAACCTTAAAATCATATGTATTGTAAAAGATGGGGTTGATTTACAAATCAATAGGGTTCTTCCTGTCAATAGGACACACAAACAATTTCAGACTGATTGGATCGCAACTGATGCCTCGACGGTGCTAAGTTCGTAATAATGGGAAATGTTCCTAAAAGTTATTTAAAATCGTCGAAATCCGTATAGAAATATTAGGATTAACAAAGACCTAGTTTATACTTCGTTGGTGAGAAGCAAACTCAGCTCAATGAATATGGCGCCGGCGTACTAACAAAGAGGCCCCGGGTTCGATCCCGGTGTCGACAGCGACAGTTATAAAAGTGTCTAGTCTTACGGAAAATACGAAACACAACGAGGTCCATCTATATACTCGTTGCTGGAGTGCACGTAAAAGAACCCTTGACATTAGGATATAGAGGAAGAGTAGGCGACCCACAACATAGTGTATGTCACACTTCATTAGACCACTGCACAGGGTATGTCACACTTCATTAGACCACTGCACAGGGTATGACAGACTTCATTAACCCACTGCATACTGTATGTCAGACTTCAGTAGCCCCTACATACTGTATGACAGACTTCAGTAGCCCCTACATAGTATATGTCGGACTTCATTAGCACAGGGTATGTCAGATTGCATAACCATGTCAGACCTCATTAACCCACTGCATAGGGTATGTCACACTTCATTAGCCATTATGTTTGATGTGATTTGTTTGTTTCAGATTGTTACGAACTGAAAATGAGTGGTCTCAATCTTAGTGGAGTTTATCCTCTTAAACTTCCCAGTGGATACGTCGTTAACGTTTGGTGCGACATGGAAATGCAGGGTGGTGGATGGACTGTGATTCAGCGACGTTTTGACGGATCAGTGAACTTTACGCGAGGATGGGACGATTACGCTTTCGGATTCGGAAACGTGAATTCCGAGTTTTGGTTGGGTAATGAGAATATATATTACATGTTGCGCAACACGAATTACACGCTACGCATTGACCTCCTGGACTGGGAGGATCAACACGCATGGGCACAGTATGATTATTTTAAAGTGGCTAGTGAAGAGAATAAATACAAGCTGACGGTCAATGGATTCTCGGGGACGGCCGGCGATTCCCTCGCCTATCACAATAATATGTTCTTCAGTACCATGGATCGTGATCACGACAAATGGTACGCTAGTTGTTCCCATAAAGATCGGTCCGGTTGGTGGTTTAACGCCTGCAGTTACGCGTCACTCAATGGAATATTTCACCCCAACGGAGAACAGAATATCACACCAGATGGCGTTATTACTGGCATCACGTGGTTCGAATGGAAACAGAACCTCGCGTATTCGATGAAGCGCGTGGAGATGAAGATCAAACCGAGGGTAGCCTTAATGGCGGAAGCAGAAGGCCTCATCGGAGGATATGACTGATTTTAACAGTTGTATTCCTGAACGAATATACCGACATTTATTCGTAGAGAACTTTCTTGTTTTTACTAAAATACTAAAGTATATGAAAATGTTTTCTGGTCACAGAAGAGCTTCTTATGTATAAATTCATGCCATTATATAATTGCTGGTGATTTTTTTTATTTATCCTTTTTTTAACACGTCCTGTAACAACATAGTGGTGGGAGCAGAGTACACACCCAGCAGGGGCGTGTTCAGGAATGTGAGCAGCGTCAGGGTTGTCGGGGGTGGAGGGGGTCAACGTCATGTCCGGCGCCAGGTTTGGTTGATTACTAGAATTTTTTAAAATTAAAAACTTCGAGACAAGATTTCTGATCATTTAGATATCATACATGTTTATGATTAGAATTGAGTGGAGCCAAAATGGTGAGAATTCTTCTTACGTTATTTGAATGACGAATGCCCTGATCCCTTTAAGGACATGTTCCTGCAAACTTCCTCCACCCCTCAACCTACATTCGACAGACTTTCAAAACTTGTAAAATGTCTCTACTTTTCATTCATTCAAAGCTATTCAATCCTTCTAAACGATACTGAGATGTCATTAGATCTATTGATTGTGTTCCGCGTCCTTTCTGCTAATCTTTGGACATGTTTCTGGGAAACCCCCAGCAGGGACACCCTTTCCTCTGCGCACCACCGCTGACGAGAATTCAATGAATATGATGTAACGAATCTGTTGGTGTATCCATGGTCTGACATTTCACTCCCCTGTCCTTGTCTATCTGATGTCCGTCTGTTAACTGAACCGCTTGGTGAATTTCAACCCAAATATGGTAGGTGTAATACTTGACTGGTCACTGGCTATCAACGTGTGTGGGTATGGTAACTGGTGATCACTATACATGTTTACCTCTATTTAACTTTGTGGTTATAACCCATACCGCTAAACTATTGGTGGTTGTAACGTTAGTCTACCAAATATCAATTACAGTCTAACTTGGGTACTTGTTTATCATGTAGAGTCTAACTTGGGTACTCAGTTGTCAATTAAAGTCTAACTTGGGTAATCGGTTGTAGTTTAAAATCTAATGTAGATGCTCGTTTTTCAATTAGAATCTAACTTGGTTGCTCGTTAGTGAATTATGAAGAAAATTCTTACCTTGACATGAACAAATCCCCGGTATTTTATAATAAAACCCTTTCCTTGAAGACTGTCTTTACATGGTTGACTGATGTGGATTCTACCTGCCTATAAAAATACACCAGATACAGGACATAGAAAGGACTGGGGTTTAAAGTCTAACATAGGGTAATTTTTACTTCAGGATTTGGCTTGGACAGTGGCGTTTCCAACTCCAAATGTCAACTGCTCTTTAATGTAAACACTTAACAGTAGATCTATGGACCTCGATGTTGCATACAATCCGAACGACTAGTCGCCTCTATTGCCAAGCCCCATGTCCAGCAAGAAAGTTAGGTCCTACGTCCAGTAATAATGACATGCCCCACATCCAGTTAGAATGACAGGCCGAACGTCCAGTAATAATGACGGGCCCCACGTCAAGTAAGAATAGCAGGTCCCACGTCCAGAAGAATGACACGGCCCACGTCCAGCAAGAATACCAGGTCAAGCCATTAGAAACTTGTTCGTCCAACACCGGGGTTGAACCCTGGACTCCCTCTTTATGCTAAATTTTACGTTTTCTTCATTTGTTTATACCGTTTACGTGTAGATCATATTTAATACTTGTCTTGAATATTATTATATAAAACATACCTCACTATAAGATTGCATCCTAGAAGCTGTATTTACAGTATCACCAAATAAACAATACTGAGGTGTTTTCCTACCAACTAAACCTGATGCTACGCTACCTATATGCATACCTGGAATGAACAAAACGACATATTATCTATTTTATCTCTCTTAATAGTTTACTGGGTTAAAGGGAAATAACCGTGTCAACACCATTCGGATGCAGACCACCATTAATTTCTCCATTGACTTAAATGTTAATTCTGTCTCTTTGCCCGGCTCCACCCTTCCTAAGATTTTCGTTGGTCTGAATGCTTTTCACTACAGGCAGAGAAACGGATGGTAATGTCATTGCACCAAAATTAGTATGGGGCTGACAACCAAAATTTTGAGGTACACAAACTTGAATTAGCATACGAAAAGTATGTAATGTAACTATTTTGCCGAACATACCACCGTAAGCAACCTGTTAACTCTGTTATCCTTCCGCCTCTAAATGATGAATATTTATCGTCTTCGTCCATTCTAGACAAAAAATCAACAAAAAAGGGAATGCGAAAAGGGGAGAAAGAGAGAGAGAGAGAGGTGGGATTGCTATAAACAGACGAACTACAATTTGTGGTATGTAATGGTGGTCTGTCTCCACTCTGTCCGCTAACCTGATCTTCCAGCGTGACTCCCCTAGTCAATGGTGGGGGTTGGATGGCCGAATGGTTAGCACGTGCGCGCTGTATCATAAAGCCTGTCAGTGAGTCATCTGACATAGTTTCAAATCCCCGGAGTAGGGTCGCCCGTCCAACCTCGTGGGTATTATCCGGGTCCTCCGGTTTCTTCCCACTGCTAAAGACCCCTACGCGCGAGCGAATTATTGAAATAGAATTAAACCATAGGTTAGTCCCGAAATGACCTAGTTTGTGTCGAGTGGACGTTAAACCCCATTTCTCTCGCTCTCTCTCTCTCTCTCTCTCTAGTCAATGGTATGTATCAACTCTTTCCGTTTACCAGACCTTTCAGTGTTGGTTCCCCTAGTCAGCAGTATGCCCGTCTTCATTTCACTTCTAATCTACGGTTCTGTAGTTTCTCATTTTCCATTATTGTCAGTGGTGCAAGTCCCGTGTACACATTGGCGCTCACGTAAAAGAACCCTTGTCAGTTGTAAAATCGAAAGAATAGGCCGTTGAAAATTCATCTCGTAACTCTACTTCAATGTACATTGAATACACTAATTATTTTGGCTTTTAATATAGATTACATTACCTATTCTAGCTTTAAGATTACATTACCTATTCTAGCTTTAAGATTACATTACCTATTCTAGCTTTCAGATTATTTCCCGATAGCGGATCTTTCAGTGTTCGGGCTTTTTCTAGAAATTCTAGCGCCAATCTAGCCACTCTCTGCGCATGATCAGGTTGTCGATCTGGTACACCACCCGCCACCATGTAAACAGCGTCACCTAGTGTCTCTACCTTAAATATAAACACATTCAATAATGGAACTATATTCATATGTTTGTTACATCACATAAGACGGAAATGCGTTTCAGACCCAAGTTGGTGAATCATAACCCACGACTGTTACCAAAAGGATGCCTCATATCAGACATTAACCTTTTGGGATTTCCAGTTGCGTCGTTGTTGTACATCTATTTTGGGTTAGAACTGTTGATAGGACTAGCAGTCTAGCACTATATGGTGACATTGTAAAGATAAGATATAAAACAGGAAAGCAATGATGTATAGTGTCCACAATACGAGCGGTCGGTACTCCAGTTGCGAACTTTTCTTTTTTGTGTCCAAACGCCGGACGCATTGTTCCCAGGAACCAAGTTCAGACAGTAACCCCCCAAAGAAATCGGGCCATCGAAGTACAATATGTACCGCCATGGGAATTGCTAAGTGTCCTGTGTATTTCTGTTTCTATGGTCCAGTATATTAAACTATCTACAATACCTTGAATAGTTTATATCTATCTACAATATCATCGAAGAAAATAAAAACATTGTTGATACATTCTACAATCTGTAGGGCGGAAGCTCGAGCACACATCTCCGTAAACCCGACTAAATAACAAAACATCACAGATACACTGTCAAACGACTGAAATATAAAACATCACAGATACACTGTCAAACAACTCATATATAAAACATCACAGATACACTGTCAAACGACTGAAATATAAAATATCACAGATACACTGTCAAACAACTGAATAACAAAACATTACAGATACACTGTCAAACAACTGAATAACAAAACATCACAGATACACTGTCAAACAACTGAATAACAAAACATCACAGATACACTTTCAAACAACTGAAATATAGACGATAAATAACATTATATAACTTTCAGTGTATGACGTCACGAGTATGAGGTGAATAACATTATATAACTTTCAGTGTATGACGACACGAGTATGAGGTGAATAACATTATATAACTTTCAGTGTATGACGACACGAGTATGAGGTGAATAACATTATATAACTTTCAGTGCATGACGTCACGAGTATGAGGTGAATAACATTATATAACTTTCAGTGTATGACGACACGAGTATGAGGTGAATAACATTATATAACTTTCAGTGTATGACGACACGAGTATGAGGTGAATAACATTATATAACTTTCAGTGTATGACGACACGAGTATGAGGTGAATAACATTATATAACTTTCAGTGTATGACGACACGAGTATGAGGTGAATAACATTATATAACTTTCAGTGTATGACGACACGAGTATGAGGTGAATAACATTATATAACTTTCAGTGCATGACGTCACGAGTATGAGGTGAATAACATTATATAACTTTCAGTGTATGACGACACGAGTATGAGGTGAATAACATTATATAACTTTCAGTGTATGACGACACGAGTATGAGGTGAATAACATTATATAACTTTCAGTGTATGACGACACGAGTATGAGGTGAATAACATTATATAACTTTCAGTGTATGACGACACGAGTATGAGGTGAATAACATTATATAACTTTCAGTGTATGACGACACGAGTATGAGGTGAATAACATTATATAACTTTCAGTGTATGACGACACGAGTATGAGGTGAATAACATTATATAACTTTCAGTGCATGACGTCACGAGTATGAGGTGAATAATATTATATAATTTTCGGTGTATGGGGGAAATAAAAAATCAGCAGGTTAAAATTAATTTCTTAACTCCGCCAAATATATTATTTATTTAGAGTAAAAGAAAATCTTGTTTAGGTTTTTATTCCATTACTTGAAACACATGACAACTACAAAACAAAGTGACGGAATTTCATGCGCACGGAACGGACGCGAACCGGAAATTCCAGCATCGTAAAATGGACATTTGATTGATTATGTACATTGAGTTAATGTGTGCTTCTGGTTT